ATCTGAGTTTCAACTGTCTCAAATAATAGGTACGTATTTTGGCTTTTATCCCTAATATATATAGAAAGAGCAAGCAAGCAAGTTTACATTTCGAAAATCAAAATAAATTCTCTACCAAAAACCCGTATTAAACTCTAGGAAGGATTCTCTTCCAGTGTTCTCCCAATAGAGTAGTCAGATAACAATCTACAAGCCAATATTGTGATAATAACATTCTTCTCCGCAGAGTCTCAGTCTCACAGTCTCACAGCTCGCAGTACAGAGTAACAACGGATTGGTTTAAAGATTGCAACTCTGAATTCGTAATGACAGGTTGCGAGCCCGACTGTGAGCCTGTCTTCGAATAAATATTTATTGTTCTACAAATACTGTATGTAGTAGATACATATTATAGCTGTGAAATCCTATTGATATCTACCAGTGCCTAGATTACGTTATAGTTGTGTTTAGTTTGAAAAAGTTTTTTTTAGGTGGAATTGTTACATCTCAAAGAATATTACTATTCTAGTTAAGTACGTAGGTAATGTTGTAATAAGATTTTTTTTAAAAAAATTGCCTAGAAAAATATATGTTATTATTGCACTAAAGATTATTTAGATGACCTATCATAGATTTAGAATAAGTAGTGCATAGTTATAACTAGATATGAAGCTAAATAATTTGTACACCAATTCGGTAGAATGTGTGAGATTCCATACACAACACACACACAACACAAACACCTATATTTGTACTACATTCTCACAAATAAATATTTTCTTTCTTTCTTTCTTTCTTTCTAGTCATTCACACAAACATGCCGATTTCAAAAGATTTTCACCTGACTAACATAGGCTTTATTCATCGGTGAAAATATAAAAAGAAATCGGGACAGGCCGCTATCGCTAGTAGTGTATAAAATACTGTTCGGTTCATTCGGTATCAGTTTACTATCATTTTCACTTGCAGTATTAATTTAAATTTTACAAAAGATAATTCTTTTATTCTTATCAAAAAATATTTTTAAAAGCAATATTTTAAAATTTTCTATACTTTTTCTATTCAGCCGTGATGTGTTATATTGTATGTTTTAAGTTTTATGTATGTACCCATATACATTTTTTATTGTATTTATATTATTTGTAAAAGTATAATACTAATGTATTATAACAACATAGAGTTGCAAATTGTCTGGCATTCGCGTATTTCCTTTTATTTCGTATCTGGCGCCTATAAAACATGTTATATAAAATGCATAGGCGCTCGAGCCAGACACTACTTGAGTGCACTTTGGAGCTCAACGTATTAATTTTTATAACACGTTTCAACAATCACGGGCAAGCGAAGTCCATTTGTGCTTGCTTAATCATGAAAATAAATATAAAAATCTGTATTTAAATGAGAAAGAATATTATTTCACATACATATTTAATTGTTGTTGGATGTTTTTTTATCATTTTTAGACGAGACTTTTTATGCGTTCACTTACAAAATACATATTTCTCTTTATCTTTAATAACTATTCTGTTCATAGAATGATAAATTAATTTATTTTATAAATGCGACTCCGTTCGCGTGGAATAGTGACTTTCTGTAGATTTTTGGTATAAAATCTATCCTTTCCCAAGTTTCAAACTGTCTATACCAAATTCCACTGAAATCGGTTCAGTAGTTTATGCGTGAAGAAAAGACCGACAGAAAGACAGAGCTGCTTTCGCATTTATAATATTATATAGTTTGGATTGATAAAAATACATTAGACGTTATAGAACGGATCGAAGTTTTCAACTAATACAATAAACGAAACTACATCACTCGACAGAAACCGCCTAGCTCATTTTCAATAGATAAGTATTACCTAACCGAATCCTTAAGTTAAGTGGCATATCAAATACTAACACTTCGAGGGTCGAGAGATTATCCGCGTCGATATTCTGATCCGTTTATACGCTATATTTGTATGAGGTAAAAACAATGGCTTCCTAGTTTCACCTTCGAACGTGAATATAAAGGTTGGTACACAACGAACAGAGAATTCACTTGGGACCCATTGTTGTTGAAACTACACACGGAGCGACGAGCGACGTTGTGATTTCTATTACCGTTTCCGAGTTTTCTTTGTATGAATTATATTGTTTGAAATGTTTCACTTTCCTCACAATACGCGTGATCTGGTTGTATAACTGTTTGTTTTTGTTATTGATGTTTAAATATAAATAGTGGTGGGTTTTTGAAAAGGTCATAGTATTTTCTTTTGTTGACGAAAAGAAAAAGTTAATATAATGATTATTGGAAAGTACTTATCTATACTAATATTATAAACAGGTAAAATTTCTTAGTTTGTATGTACGGGGGTAATCTTTGGAACCGCTACAATATTCCTGAATGCTACAGGCTATAAAACATCACGCTACGATCAAATGGACCCGAGCAGCAGGTGAAACCGCTCGAGAGTAGCAAGTACATAATACCATAGTACTTACTTAATGTTAGTTAAGTTAAGACTCTAATAGAATTCAAACTTGATGCAAATTCTTTAACGTATTTATTTAGTCTTCCTCAAAAGCTTGTAATAATACCAAAAATATTCAATCTATTCAATAAACCTACTGACTAAAGACTCAATCCAAGTTCTCATGCCTGCAACGATTAGAATCAGCAAGTTCTATATACTCTGCAAGTATCTTATAGCAAGTTTTCTTCTTTATATCCTCCAGGCGGATATTGCATCGATATTTTAGAATTTTCCAATTCAAACAAAATGCTTGAGATTATAAACGCATTTTAAGTCTAATGGTATTTTCTTCTGCAAAGGAGAAATATGTTCGGATCGTCGTTACTGCATAGCGATCAGATTAAAAAGGGATTTTAAGTATTTTATTATTATTTTTTTTGTTTGAAAAAATGACAGTTTACTGCTGAGAAATGAAACATTTAATTAAAATATTGTATTTGAAAACACATTTCGTTATCCTTATTTAGTTAGGATAAACGATTTTGTTATTAACTTATCATCTACGCTTTTAGGAAAAAACACAAACCTTTTTTTGTTTAATCTTTTTCCATCTAAAAAAGTAGGTAATGTTTTTTTATTTATGCGTTCCTATTACATATTATTTTACTTTATTTCAACTTAATTTTCTCACTTATGCACTTATGGATATCTAACTAATATTTATTAACGCGAAAATTTGTGAGTAGGGATGGATGTTCGGTATTCTTTAAAGTAAAAACTACTAAACGTATCTAAATGAAATTTGCCAGAGTGATAGATGATGTGAAATAATACGTACTACTTTTAACTCTAATACTGCAGGCGAAGCTGCTGGCAGAAATGAGTCATCTATAATCCCTAACATTGATCGGATATGAAGACAATGTCACGATGACAATACGTACGTGTTTCATCGAAGATTTGGACTTTGGTGTCCAGAGAGGCTCACATAAGCTTCTCCGTGGTCTTGTGACATAATATCCTAGTCGATTGAAATTCGAGTTATCTTCAGCTCAATAGCGTTAGAGGAATCTATGCGATATCCGCATTAATATAGGGACTATCGTTAGATAGAGTTTCGAACGGTCAAGAGCATGTGTATAATTATGAAAATACTATTTTTACAAGCTACTATTGTACATTTGAATATTTGAGTTCTTTGACACTTTGACGTCACTGAACACATGACCTAGTTTTAATGTTATATTAGTTAGTGTAATAAAAACGCTCCGTAACATCGGTTGGCCTGACAATTATTCGAGTTTCCTTGACTATAATCCGCCCTATCTACCTGACATCTGACAACTCTGCTGAACGAGTGCTACCAGCTCGTTCATTTTGGTCCTTCGAGTCGGATCTGAACCAGCGACCTATGGATCCTTTTATGGGTGTTTCTACTTTTCCATTTCAAGAATACCTTCTACCTACCTTCTCAAATTAATAAAATAAAACAAAGATTTGTATAGCAAGCTCATTGCACGTTGAAAGTACATTTGTTTGGTAATGCAAATCGTAGTTAACGTGATTGATCCTAAAAAGAACCATTTTGATCAAAAAAGATTTCACCAAACAATTTTGAATATCGATCGAGCTTACAACCTGCTAACAATTGGTCGAAAATTGAAATAAAATAATATTTATTACTGATCCCACAAAATGCACGAACAACAAAACTTTAGTTCAAGCAACAATAATTTTATTAACACAAAATTTTCTCTTACAACAAAATCTTAATCCTTATAACTGTTACCATGGAGTGGGTACGGAAAAACACTATTTTTTGAAAAAATATACTAGCATATTCCTACAATAGCGATCTGGCAAAAAACAAACGACAAAGCTCCTATTGAAAGGGATTCGTAGTAAAATTTTCTTTGAATAAAAACGATGGAAGCGAGAAGCCAATGAAATCTTTACAAATATAAAGCATACATAGATGATTGTAAGTTGTTAGTACGGAGAAAAGCGAAGTAATAGCACATTTTTATTGTACCAACACTGAACTGTTACGATTCAATATACCACAGCTTAGTACAACAATAAAACAGTTTATCAGAATCCTTGTTTTGTTCGGCAAAGGTTCGTAAAGAAATACTGTTAGAGACATTTTATTACTCGATGTAGTTCTTATATAATAATATAGCTCGGTTCCTTGAGTTTCGGTGTTTTAAAACTATTTGTAGTTATATTGTCTCCTATTCATCTTTCTCACAATATTTATTAATGGCAATGCTCCAATCCAATTAAAAATGTAAAGCAAAAATCATTGTCATTTTTGAGTGCTAACCCTTTGAATATCACTATTAAAAACCCAATGAGGAGGAACTTTCACGTTACATTTTCGATTTAGTAATCATTATTAAACAAATCAGCTTAACAGGCTAAGTTCACCAAATTGAATATAAGCAAGTATTTCGTAGGTTAATAGATCTAACTCTACAGCAGCGCCTCTATCGAAGCGAAAACAACATTATGAACTAAACTAATACAAAACAAATACTAATAGAAAATTTTCAATTGTCCCCAGTTTCTATCGCTGTTGGAACGCAATGTGGTTGCGAACACTACCCTACATTACCGCCAGATGACTCTGTTCGCTCCGACCAATGAGGCATTCCAGAGGTTCAACGGAGAATTGGACGACTCTCTCGTACTTTATCATATAGGTATGTCAGCTATTTGTTCCGTAAATGTTTGTATGTTTGTATATACGGCCTTTGTATTGACGACGTGTGGTCCGCAGATAGTCCATTTATCTTTAAGAATGGGCGGTTTGTGTGAATTGTTGGGGTAAGTGAACAGCGATGGCATAATCAAGAGTATGTTCTTGTGGTTGTGATGGTTTCTGTTATAACAACAACTGTACAAAGAAGGGGCATTCTATTTTATTACACGACTACCCAAAAGAAGTGTTATCTTTTTACTTGCTTTTTGGTGATTATGTTAGTGTAATGACGATTATCGCATACGAATTTTGACGATTTGAACTTATACCTACATTCTTAGCAAATAACAATTCATGCTTCTTGATTCTTGATTCTTGAGAATGCTTTTACTGACAGTGTTCCTTCAATCCGCGAGAAATTGATCTGAAATCTTTACCTACACTTTGAGAATTTGTCAACAATTGAATATCTTTCAAAAAGTTCATCATGAAAATTAATAACAACTAAGTAACAAATGTCGTAACTAGATGGCAGCACAATATGCACAGTTTACTATCTCTAAAATAATATTTAGTTCCACACTACCTACACATGGTCACATATAAACAAAGCACAAACTCCCCCAAAACTTCGAACAAAGAGGGACGAAACAGTTATTTTAGGTAATAATACATCTGCATAAAACATTTTGGCGGTATTTCGGTACACATCAAAGTCACGTGTTGTTTTACCCAAGCTCAAAGACCAAAGTTGCGGAACTCATCCTATTAGTCACCTCTCCTTGTAGTTTAGACTAAACTAAGGTAGTTCAGACAACTCCTAAATTAAAGCAATCCTGCTAGATTTTCACCTTGTGTCTACGTGGGAACTGAGGCATTCATTAATTTTAACTCGCCAGCCTCCAAGTCACCGCTTTGCTTATTGTTTTGTTTTGAATATTAACTTTGTTTTATGTCAAGTACAGTTCTAGTTGAGATTGTAATTTCACATGGTATTAAATGACCTTTTATAAAATGGTAATACGATTATTATATACAGTACTAAAGCGATTAATTACCAACCGATTTTGAATACACTTGTGGTCGGTTTGGGTATTTAACTTAGGTCTGATTTTACAATAGAATAAATGTTATCTGAGAGATAAAATTGTTGCTGTCACTGTCTTATACATACATTCTGACGCGACAGCATTACAATCATTCCCGAGATAACTTTTATCTAACCATTGAAAAATCAGCCTTCATTTTAAACAATCTTGGCATCCCTTTTTATCTAAAAGTTTAACGTAAAAATGTATAAGTACCTGAATCGATGTTAACTGTAATAAACTATAGATATTTAAATGTAGGAGAGCCATGCTTCGGCACGAATGGGTCGGCTCGATCGGAGTGATACCACGGCCTCACAAAAAACCGGCGTGAAACAACCACAGCGTTGTGTTTCGCCGTGTGAGTGATGTTACCGGAGGCCCAATCCTTCCCCTCACCCGATCCCTCCCCAATCCCTTAATCTCCAAAACCGTAATCCCTAAGAGGTCGGTAACGCACTCGTAACTTCTCCGTTGCGGGTGTCCATGGGCGGCGCTGATTGCTTACCATCAGGTAATCCGGCTGCTCGTTTGCCGATCTATTACATAAAAAAATCTTTATATGTATTTTCTACGACCTTTTTAATATACTCCGATAAAAAAGACCTTTAATTAATCACCTGAACCAATAGAGTATGATTAGTTTCGAGCGAGTGTTAAGAACGAACTCTCCTATTTTAACATTTACACATACAAATTAGTTACACGTTTTCTCTAAAATAGAACAAAGTTTATAATTGAACCTGGTATTGAAATGTAGGTGTATTACAATTAAAGTTAGACGAACAGTAAAGTTTTACTAATAGAACAATTCGATACAATAGGTACGAGTTAAACCGCCTCCACGTTCGGAGAATAGCAAATATCTAAAAACAGATTAACTGGAACAAGATTTGAGCATTCAATAAAATAAGTCAATCAATAAAATCTGGGAGAGCCGTGCTTCGGCACGAATGGGTCGGCTCGACCGGAGTGATATCACGGCCTTACAGAAAACCGTGACCGGCGTGAAACAACCACAGCGTTATGTTTCTATGAGTGTGGTTACCGGAGGCCCAATTCTTACCCTCCCTAGATCCCAAAAAGGTAGGCAACGCACTCGTAATTCTTCCGTTGTTGCAACAATCAGATAATCCGTATCCGCGTTTGACGTCCTATCACGTACAAAGAACAAGTGTAAATGAGATTGGAAATATCAAACTTATAATTTGAAGTCTATCCCTTTCACAGATTGATAAAGGCACCGTTCTAATTCAATATTGGCTGACATAATCCGATTGTAATAGCCGTGGAACGAGCTAACTGTCAAACGCGGTTTCGTCTGCACATTATTTGAATAAAATATTAATAATAGGGTTGCTTTGTCATTTATCAGGAAGATAAATAGATTTTGCGACCTGAGCTCCGGTACATTTACAATATTCAGGAGTAAAAGTTTTGTCACAAAAGAATGAGGTATCGCGACTTCTTCTTATTGTGTGTGATTTTAGTAAAATAATGTAATATCAAAACCTAATGGTATCATCATTTATATTTATTTCAGTATGCAATTATATGCACATTGCATTATTTATGAGATAGGGTGCCAAATGAGTAGAAGGACCTAGTATGCAATTAACGCCACCCATGGACATGGGATAGAGTTACGAGTATGTCGCCGACCTTTTGGGGATTATGGATTTGCAGACTAAGGGATTGGAAAGAGATTGGAGAATGGCAAAACACTACGCCGCGGTTGTTTCACGTCGTTTTTCTGAGAGATTGTGATATCACGACGGTCGAACCGACCAATTCGTGCCAAAGCATAGCTCTTTAAATCGTTGAAGATGTATTTTATTATAGACAGATTCAATTACAAAGATACAGACCATTAATGAGAATAATCAAAGTTTAAATGGATACGATCTGAAAATCCATTTCGATAATAGAAACCATTTAAATCTAAATATAAGCATTTTCATTGGTTATGGTGTAATTATCGTCTGTCCCCATAATATAGAAAAAATATTATTTATTAGCAAGTAAGTAACAAGCGGCTCGGTAAATTGACCTTGAAGGTTAAACGCCTATTACCTTATAGAGTATCAAATTCCAGCTAACCTATATAAAGATTATATCAGCAACTATTACCAAAACTAACTCTTAGTACATGAGACTTAAAATTGATTTCGTTTCAGCAAATCTGGCGACGACTTTATCGAATATGGACTATGCGATATCGACGGATCTGGATGGAAACCCTCCATTGTGGGTGACGACGCGGCGGGGTGCGATGCATGACGACATTTACGTGAACAATGCCAAGGTCTATGTCAGCCGCTCCTATCAGGCTGTGAACAGGAACAATAAGTTACAAGTAAGACTTTTTCATCTATATCTAATATTATATTATGAAGAGGTAAATTTGTAATCTTTGGTACCGCTGGTCGGATTGCCAAAATTCTTTCACTGGTAGATAGCTAAAAGGGGCCTGAGTGCAATAGGCTATAAAAAATCACAAATAAGTTTTGAATAAGTTTGTTTGTGTCGTCGTTAGTTTTACTTGTTTGTTGCTTTTGCGTCTTTTGCGTTAATAAATGTTTTTTTTTTCTTCTTCTTTCTTTCAATAAAAGTGTTGAGTAAAGAACACGAGGTCACCAAAGTTATTAAGTTTATTTTTTATGTGGTAGATCGTCAAACAAGCCAACGGATTACCTGATAGTAAGCAATCGGCAGCGTTCCATAGACATCCGCAACACCAGAGAGGTTACGAGTACGGGGCCAGCTTTGTGTGGGTTAAGGTTTTGGAGAGGTAACCTCACTTACACGGCAAAATACAATACTGTATCAAGGACCGAAGATAATAATTGACCCTTTACGGTAACATGCAGTTGTGGATATGCTATGCGGAAGCTATTGGTAGGTTCTGCAACTAAGCAACGGTGACAATCCCTGCACTTCTTAAATCAGTCTTTACTTATTTTCCTTTATGCAGAATTTTGTTTGTGATAAGAACCACATACACATCTCTGTGACCCAGACATTCTTGATCAGGGTCTTGGTGTGGAATTAACTATGCGGTTGACTAAGCGTTTGAGCGCTTGTAATACAATGTGTTACGGCTTCAATTCTTTTACGGAATGACTACATATGTATGTTATTCGCAGACAGCTGTTCTGGATCTTGGTGTGATGTGAACATAGAATATATCTTTATTATCGTAATTACTTTATAAACTTTAAATAAAAGTAATGGAAAACAAATTTAATTAAAGTAAACGTTATATATTTTAGTTTTTATATAAAATATTCTTAACAAGTTAGTATTCAACAAACGGAACAGGCATTACGATCATTGTTTGGAACAAATGTTCACGTTGAGCACCCACTACCGAGCAAACCAAGGCACGAGTGGTGCCGTACATATTCCAGACATTGTATTTGCTTGAACGCACATAAGAATTCTCCAAGCTATTTGCAAGGATGATCTTAGGATTCCAGATTTTATAGACAGAGATTTAACCTCTACAGTAGGTTAGTTCTTCGTAGAAACCTGGTTTAGTAACTTAAATATTTATCGTTATTGAAGCTCTCCCTGGTGTTGTTCAGAGAATTATGGAAAATGTAGTTCTTATATCAAAACAACAGCTTCATAACTTACGCTAGTCTAGTACCATTGTACGACGCAGGTACTTCATAAACCGACCAATTTTTATTCCATTCCAATGTTTATTTCGTGTCCCAAAAAACCGAGTCAGTATTTTAACAGCAGGATCCCAAGATAATAAAAATTTCAAGGATTTCCCACGGAATAAGTAAGCCCGGATTTAGTTTACTGTGTCGCGAATGTCCAATACATTCCCTTGAGATTTGGAGCTGTCGGCTGGTGTCTTTGGACTTAGACTTACAACAATAATTATTAATTCAACAGATACTTTGATAACTCGCTTTATCTTCAACTGAATAAACTAACTAAGCTTGGTAGGCACCTCTTAGTTCCATCCTCCCAGATTAGGGTTACGACTGAAATAATATAATCACCGAAGTTGTAATGAAATCAAATCTAAGTTACTTGAATACACAGAACAGAGTGAAGATTAAGTTTATTTTGTGTTAAAAATATTGTTTAAAAACTAAGTTGACCTTAATGGACAATCAACCGATGTTTTGCTGTTACATTTTATTTATATAAATCTCTTGACAAATATTTCAATGCTATGCAATTTTCATTCAAATCTGAAACGAACGTACAAAGTCACATATACGTCGAAATTCGTAATATGAACACAGTGTGGCTATTCCAATTTATTCCCTTTGGACGTAGATGGAAACATCACTGCGACGTGTAAACAAATCAAAAGTCTGTTAAAAGTCGAAAAACTTGTTCGAATTTTGACTGATCAGTCCAATCTACAGATTTAAATTCAAAATATCGGGGTTACTGGGGAAAAAGCTAATAGTGCAGTATTTTGTAAGTCAGCTAGCTACATGTATTGTGTGCCAAAAGTCCGCAACGATCAATATCGCCAGAGTTTTGGCACGTTTCTTATACGAATAATATAAAATGGTACATTTTGAACCCAAGCAAGCTTGAACGACGTGATTACTTGCCTGATTTGGGAACCAAAACATTGGGCTGATTGCTGGTAAAAAAATATTTTTATTGGACCCCGTCAGGCGAGAGTTTTGCGTCACCGCACCGTCTAATGTTATTTGAGGACTTGTTAAACCTGGGTTTGTGGGTTTGCGCACCTTTACATTACATTAATTCAACCTACCACAACAAGGATGTTTCGTTTATCTAAAATATATTTTAAGTGCATTTGTTTAATAAAGTTACATCAACTCTCTGCTAATATGAAATGCCTTACACTTTTTAATAATTTATCTCTCTGGAAATAATTGTGTTGAAATGAATAAGCGCCAACTGATAATTGTAAAAAATGAGTTTTTTAAATTAGCAGTATATAATTGCCTCGGTACATAATAACTTCAAAATTACTTACAAATTGAATCAGCTAATAAAGAAAATTGTTGACATAAAAACTACAGAGTGCCTAACCTTAATTTCTCCTAGACTAATTAGACGACGGATTTTGACAAAGAAACAACAATCGAGGCCAAAGGTCAAGAGGACTCGGCACGGCATCGAAGGGGCTACCGTCACTTTATTTATTAAGGGTAATAATGTCTCAAAGACGTCTGAACACTTAGAAACTAGAAAACTTTTACTTTACAACAGAAACCTATCTTTTTCTTCGAAAATGTTTCTTCATACTCCAGTGAACAAAAAAGGTTCGACGCAATGGGGCTAATATGCTTATAAAATAGATATACGTACTCTTCGGTCGAAACCTTATTTTTTCTATCAGCTTGACAGTTATTTGACATGCTTATTATTTTGAGAATACTGTACATGAAATTTTGTGTTTGATAGTTTTAACTATTTAAAATTAAATTTATTACAAACATGATAAATGTGAAGCTTTTGTTTTTGGGTTTAGCGTGGGAAAAGGATTATTGTGATTACTTTTTAGATAACTGACTATAGTAAATATGCTTAAAAGAAACCTATTGTCAATAAACGATGACCATGTCGACGATGATTATGTCGGGGTCTTTGTACTTATTTCCTGAAAATGAAATTCAATGATTTTACGTCACCAAAACGTCGGTTGGTAATGGTAATCGTTTTTAAGATGATTTGAATATAAACACATGGATACAAATTATAATACACACATCCCAAATAGGTATATGTATAAATATAAACAAAAATTCCTTCACCAAAGAAGCTAAAAGTTGTGATTCTCTTGATTGATTTGACTTAATTTCATCATCACCTATAAACTAAATCTCATTCCTAAGGGAAATGCCCCACACTAAGATTTTCTCCTATGTCATGGGTGCATTTACAAACATACTTTTTCACATACACATTAAACCCAGACCCGGAACAACAATTTGTAGATCACCGTATGGGAATCGAATACCGCGACAATAGCCAATTGCCTAGCCACCGCGCCAATCGAGCACTCAACCTTGGCCACCATAACCAACAAATACAATGACTTAAATAAAAAAAAATCGAATGTGTAAACATACTTTTGCTTACAGGTACTCCACGTGATTGACCAAGTGCTACTGCCGCTGCAACCTCATGGATCCAGTTCCATCAGTTCTCCAGTCTACAATCCTAATGCCTATCACTTCTTGGAACACTCCGACCTCTTTAACATCGGGCAGCATCGGCTCAGGTACTTATCATTTCGTTGGTTCACATCACATCACATCACATCATCAGCCTATAAGCGCCCACTGCTGAGCAAAGGCCTCTTCTCACACAGAGAAGGTTTGAGCAATAATCACCACGCTTGCTCAATGCGGGTTGCGGGGGCGATTTCAATCTTATAATTAGAAATTATAAGTCCAAGTTTCCTCACGATGTTTACCTTCACCGTATGACAGAGGTCTAAATAATCATAGAAAGTACATATAACTCGGAAAAAGTCACATTGGCCAGGTTTCGAACCCACGCCGCCCTCATGCATGAGAAGCGGGCTCCTTAACCTCCGGGCCACCACAACACTTACAAACACTTACACTCATTGGTTCAGCGATTAAAAATGAATATTGATCTGCAATATAATATGTATTTTACACTTTCCCGTGGTTTTCTATTTATCGTTATACTAGCTCTAAATTCCCTGGAATCTGCTTACCGTTTCATCTTTCGGGTACTTAATTTTTCTTAATTGTGTTATTTGTTGCAACAAGACTACACAGAATTAAAAAATCAATATACTCATCAATCAATAATACTCACTACAATTAAACCAAGATAGCTTCCTACACAGTTTTGTTGTTTGTATGAAGCAATGCAATCAAGTCTAATTTTCATCATAACTTATTTTCATATCACGTTCAACATGAAAAGAAAGAAAATGTAAATAATAATAAATTGCAATACATAATTGCCAGTTGAATTTGCATGCGTCGAAAGCATACTCGACGTAACGTAAAAATCGGAGTAAAAACCCTTTAATAAAACAATAATTCGTCGAAAGTCAACTCGAAAAATCTGTGTTTAATTCGAACAAAAATTAACATTTAATGAACGAAAACACAGGCCTGGTTTGCATCGTAATTGTCATTAAAATTTTAAATACATGTTGCACAACGAGTGCTAGGAAAATGAGGGAAAAAATGCCTTCATTATGGTGTAGGTAAGTTTGTAAGATAATAACATCACGGACGTTTCAATTACCGCCAAACTCGGGGCGAACTGAATTATCGTTGGATTGAACTTTTGCACGTCGAGTTCGCAAAACAAACAACACAATTACTAGACTACTCGTTACTATCTCTAGTGCAATCGGCAAGGCACACGCGAGGAATTTCAACTGTACACAGCGCTAGATTACATTTATTTGGAATTCGGAAACCGTGGCCGATTTCTTGTTGATCAAAGTTATGTTTTAATTTCAATGTGTTGACAAAGCTTGATATTGAGGGTTAAACTACAGAAATAATTATAACTTGCTTTTCTGGACTACCAGTATTAAATTTATTTGAATGTTGACTTTATATACAGTGAGTTATTCGAGCTTTTTAGGCGAAATTAGGAAACAAAATCATCCTTTTAATAAGTATCAAAACACAGTTACACATAAAACCCATTCGAAACGGTACCTACTCTTTGGTAAAATTTAAACGAAAGATAAAAAAGTACGTTACTTTAATTTACTCTGTAACGACAACCCTGTTCATATTTTAATTTTAGCGAGACTTTTAATTACTCTCGCTGACTAGACAAAAAGAGGAAGGACAAGACTAAATTTTGATATATTTTCGCAGGTCCTTCAGGCAAAAAGTGAACCAGCTAAAAAAGAGCAAAGTATTTGATTCCGATGGGAGACACACGTTCTTTATCCCCGTCGATGAGGGATTTAAGGTAAATCTTCTTACTAAAAATATATTGCTAAAATGTTCGGACAGAAATACAGTAACATTTTTGTTTTAGCCGACAACTAGATCCGATTTGATAGACGAGAAGGTTATAGATGGTCATGTAATTCCTCATCATGTGTTGTTCACACACGCCACACCAGATACTAAGGAATTTGAAACGTTGGCCTTCGGAGACAATGTTAAAGTCGTCATATCATTCAGCACTGTCATGAATGGGAAGGATGAAATTAGTGAGTACCTTAATGATTTTTCGATACTTTTTTTATGTGATACAATAATTGCAAACTAGCAAATGGAATACCTGATGGTAAAGTAGTAGGCGCCGCCCTTGTACGTGAAAGTGCTTTTGCTGGCTTTTTGGAAATCAGGGTTTTGGAGATTTAAGGATTGGGGGAGGGGAAGAAGGGTTGGGCGAAACACAATAATAACGCTATGTTTTTTTTATACGCTATTTTTCTGTGATTCGACACTTAAAAGTTGACTTTTTTATCTTACATTTATTATTGCTTTTACGTAATACTTTTTTCTAGGCTAGTCTTGAAGAAAGAGCTCAATGTACCAGATTTTCAGTTGACTTTTGTTTCAAAATAGCATAAGTGTTTAATAGTTTTGGATAAAACTATTTCGTTGCTACTGTGCTAGCTATGAGGGTAAACAAACTAAAAATGTCCATGCATTTTTGGGACATTAATATTCATACACTTGAAATTGAAATAAATACATAGCAAGAACTTTGACGTTTTGTATTACAATTTATAATGTAAATAACAAATAAATTCAACAATTTTCCTTTGACTGAATGTATATCAAAGTGCTTAACTGAAAGGTATTGTTTGAAAATATTTCATAATCTTCAACTGCAATCGCAGTAGCGCGGTAGTACTTAATCGTTATATTTTTATTGTACGTTTCGTTTACGTGTTTATTAACTACTTTAGTTAGACATAATTGGCTTCTAGAATAAAGAATAGAAAACTCATAAAACAATTTGACTGCACGGTTGGCGTGGTGGTTGGGCAACTGGCTGCCGCGCAACGTGTCGCGGGTTCTATTCCCGCATGGATGTGCAAATTGTGTGTTTGTAAATGCACCCACGACACAGGAGAAAATCCTTGTGTGAGACCAAGTTTAAAAAAAAAAATTACTCTGGATACTAGAAAAACTGAATTTTAAGCTCGACTTTACTTAAATAGTAATCTAACTAATAGTAAACTAAAATGTGACATAGATATTTTGTAACATAATATAAATTAGCATATTATTATACTGTTTGCACTAATATTGAATTAAAACAATTTCAAATCGATCGAACATGAATTTCCGGGAATCATATGATATATGTCCGGAACAAAATTGCGTTTAAAATTCATTATGAAGTCAAAAGGAAGGTATAACAGTCATCAGCAGAAAGATAGTTTGACAGGCGTGCATCGTGTGCAATGCACTGTTTCAATTATTCAGAGACACACCACTGACATGGCAGTGACAAAGTAATTGCTTGTCTAATAGATATGTTGGGGGAATATACTCATTTATATGACGGGAATTTTATATAATTCTGAACTTTATAGAGACGATATAATTGGCTTCACAATTACTATGGTCTTTGTACTGAACCGATAAAGTGAGCGCTAAGCTTTGCTCTGGGATTTTCGCTAGTATTTCACGGAAAATGTTTAGTTTAAGACAGATTTTCTGATACGTTTGGTTTCATCTTCACGCTGTGGTTGATTCACAGGTGCTAACCAATACAGCGTTGTGTTTCGCCGTGTGAGTGAGGTTACCGGAGGCCCAATCCTTCCCCTTCCCCAATCCCTAAATATCCAAATCCCTAATCTCCAAAAGGTCAGCAACGTACTCGTAACTCCTCCGTTGTTGTGGGTGTCCATGAGCGGCGCTTATTGCTTACCATCGGGTAATCAGGCAGCTCGTGTGCCGGACATAAAAAAAAATGTGTTAACATTGTTAATTACGGTTTCCACTACACGAGAGCAGTTACTCTTAAAATGTTTGGATGTTTTTAATATGCTTTTATGTATATGTAAAAGGATTATGTTTCTAAATGGTCGTTACTTTATTAGCTTACGTAAAATCAAACACTGTGGCTGGAGACGCGAAGCATGCTCGAGGCGTTGTTCTAGCAGATATCGTCAGGGCGAACATTCCTGTCAAGAATGGAGTTGTCCATCTCATTCAGAGACCTCTAATGGTGGTCGATACCACAGTCATCGACTTCCTCAAGGTTAGTAGAAACTTTACATTTTACACTTTATTATACTAACATCGGTACTTACTAAGCATTCAACCGTACGTCCGTTTATAAATATTTTAATGTACGAAAGTAAATTTAAAATTTATAAACTTAATATTGATACCTAATAAATTCGTGAATGAATCAGGATAGGTGTAATAATAAAGTTTCTTTATTCCATTGTAATAAGAGTGCTTTTCGTCAGTAATTTATATTGCTATAGACGTGCGGTTGACCGTATACTAACTTACTTTTAGATCTCACATAAAATGAGTTCCGACGATGGAATAGAAATCGAAGTAAGATAGCATTATGCCACAGCTAGACGTTGGAAAGAGATAGCAAGCTGCTAAATAACATAAATTTAATTATATTATCCTCTTGGCTACTAACATGAACCACTAATTAACCCAAACGTAATAACACACCACTTTACATAATATTTTCAGCTGTACTTAATTAATATTGTAAGCTAATTAGATACACAATTTCAATCACATAATTGACTTTCCGCTCCATTTTAATGGGAACCAGGCTATGAAGGTAAAATGAGGCGTTTCATTTATTTCTTAATTTTTTATTCATTATTCTTTGTGTGTAATTTATTTTTTTATTATATTTGTACCTCTTACGTTTTATAGAATTTAGGGTATAATCAATTTGAGCACGTTCTTAAAGGTTTTTGTGTGTGCTATCGAGCGTTATTTTGAAGTATTGTAAGTGACTGGTAAGCTTCATTTGATCCCATAGTATTGTTATATTGTAGTAGCCTCCGACCCAAGGTTGTATGTAAAGTGTTCATTAGACAACAGTATAGGACCCAAGTCATTTAGTTTGCGCAGTTTTAGTAAAGTAATGAATTGTAAAATGTATAAAAAGTTGATATTAATATTGTAGATTTTGAAATAGAAGTATTTAATGTAATTGAGTATAGTATTGAGTAAACGTAAAGACTAATACATAATATTTTCTAACAAATATATACCGATATACCCTCTAGTGCAGGTAGGTATATAATGAATATTTGTTATCTTGTTTTTTTTGCATCCCCGCTCCGTTGGATCCTGCTGTTCCTGCATGATCTTGACAACTTAGGGAATTGTAAGTACTGTCGCCTTATACGCATGACTTACTTTACCTTAACAAGTAATACGCCCTTCTTTTATATTATATACATACATTCTCCCTTCTACCTTTCTAATTCATTTTGTAGATTTTGATTACCATTTTAAAGGATTACCCGTAAAGGTAGGTAAATAAAACTCTGTATTTAAACGTAGACTCAAATATTTAGCTGTACAAAAGTCCTCAGCTACTAAAAGCTGAAAGAGTGAAGTTAATTACGTATTTCATTATAAAGAGCAGTACGTAAATTAATTACAACGGCCACTTGATAAACGCTAACTTTAAAAAGCTTTTGGAAGCCTCTACAACGCCATTCGGATAAAAGATTACCAAGATTGTTTTGGTGTTGTATTAATTCTTTTGAGACTAAAACAAGAATTGTTCAAACAGGAAAAAGAAGATGGACCCCTTTGTAAATTCTATGAAGTAATCATGGACCTCGGGGCAAACAACCAGTTCTTCAACGAGCTCACTTTGGCGAAAGACATCACTCTATTTGCGCCCTCAAATGAAGCGTGGGCCGATTTCAGCGTGCAAAATATCATTAGGTTATTTACTTCATTTTATTTTTTACGAGCGTTTTGTGTTGATGTGATTGCTGCCATAATGTTTTCGGCTTTGATGAGCTGTACCGGGTTCAAATGCTGTATTTTATGAACACAAAGGGACGTCGTAACAAAAATAAATTTGTATTTTGTTTACGTAGGAACCATCAAAAGCTGAGAGATATTCTAAACCTACATTTGGTCCGCGAGAGGCTCCCGTTGGACGCAATTATTCACAACAACATGAATCAGGTAAATATTGAAATTTTAATACAAAGCTTCTTTCATTCGAGTATTTAATAATGAATATAAAACTATGAAATGGAGATCTGGAATTGCCGCGAATTATAAAATTTAAATTGCAATTAAAATTAATGTCGTATGTTGGTTTTAATTCTCTGGTTTATTTGCTGCTGTTGGGAATCAGCTACCGGGAACTGTATGTTTTAATTATTTTTCAATATAATTATCATTGTCACGAATGTTTTTTTCGTTAACATTCTGGAGTACTCTTTTAATTTGTGCGAAATTGAATATGTGTTATTATTTTTGTTTTAAACGTTCCTGTTTATTTTATCCAGTCGGTAAAGTGGTTGCATGAAAGTAAAACTCCTTATACTTACGTGTTTTATGTTTATCAGTTTATGATAGATTTTCTAGGAATGTGCAATCTTTTGTAAACCCTCTAGATGTTGTTGTAAATGCATCAAAGCATGGGTGTCGAATGCGATAAAATTAATAAAGTGAAATGTACCTTATTGCTAATATTTTTGATCTATTTTAGATTTACCAAGCACCGACGGCTCTTCCTCGCAAGTATCTGTACTTCAATGTTCTGACGCGTGGTCAAAATCAGACCCTAACCGTTGAAGGTGGTGGAGTGAACGCTACTGTAACACTTCCCAACATTGCAGCAACGAATGGCTTCGTACATATCATTGACAGAGTGCTAGGAGTCCCATATACCACAGTCTTTGAGAAATTGAAAACGGATCCGATGCTGAAGTAAGCAAAATCACTCACTTACTTGTCTCATATTTAGTTTATACAGAAATGTGAAGAAAAGTTTACCAAGAACAAGGGTCACGGATATTGTGATAAAATGTTTGTTCATTTGTTTTAGCATTACTTACAACTTGGGCAAGCGGCAGATGTTCAACCAGCAGCTAAACGATATGGAACATCGTTACACGTACTTCGTTCCACGCGACCACGCCTGGTTGAAGTTCCAAATCAAGCACCCTTCAGCTTTCAAATCTCTGTTTAGGGAAGACTTCGGTTATTTCGTAAGTTATAATTTATTTTTTCTTTCATAACTACTACATTTTCCATAATATCTGCAGTAGATAGCAACTAAAAATATAGAAGAAAGAAAAAGTAACAGATATCCTTTTGATGTTAATTTTTGTTCGTAGTTCATCATCATGTGTGTTTAATTAGTGCTATATCTGTGATGTCATTTTTCAGACGAAACAAATTTTAGAGCGACATGTTATCCGAGCCGGGCGCGCGTACACTGTATCTGATTTAAAACTTCTCGCGAACGAAACACATCCCTTCGTTCTGCCGACTTCACGCGATCCACTCCGGCTGCGTGTCAAGGAATCTGATAAGAGTAAGCTTTTAGCGGTTCATTTACATTGTTATCTGTTTTCGTTTATAATGTTGCGATTTAAAATTCGATTTACGTCGAGATTGAAGATTAAACTGATTTGTTACTTTTGTAGACTACTACGTTGAGTGGAACGGCCACTGGATCCACGTGTTCAGGCCTGACGTCGAGTGCACCAATGGCATCATCCATGTTATCGACGAGCCCTTCGTGTTGGAGAGTGACATTCGGGCTACCGGTGCTGCCCATAAAGTCGACGTCGCCTATTCCTACTTCGTACTCTTCCTCTCTTTCTGTTTTGTAAGAATTTTTGAAAATTAAACGTCCTTTGTTGAGTCAGTAATGAGCTCGTATAATTTATTGGCCAATGTGGTTTTGAAATCTGTTTCCGAATTGTAATTTGATAATGCTCGTTGTTGCATTGAGAGCAATGGTTTGATTTTCAGGTGTATTCCATATTGCGTTACCGTAGTTTTGTGTAGTTTAAGAATAATATGGACGATTTGCACTGATTCGTTGGAACATAAATATAAATACTTATTATAAGATGTTATTGAAATAACTCGAAGATATTCACTGCCATCATTATTAGAATTTTTTAAATATCAAGTTTTGAAATGACATAATTCAATTAAAAGTCGCTATATATGTATAAGTATTAATCAAAATTGCAATTTAATTTCATCTGAATTTATAAATTAGTATATGAATATGAAATATATAATATTTTATAACAAGAAATATATATAAGTAAGACGTTAAGTCGTATAGGTATTTATTTCTACAATTACCGTTGTTAAAGTTTTTTTAGATTAATTATAATGAATGAATGAATCTTGAACTCCACTTTTAAATTTTGGGTCCCTTGTGCCTTTTTTAAAACCAAAGTACTAAAAATTTAATTCAGAATATACCTTTCCAAATTATTATTTACAAAGGTGTATTTACTTTAAATCTTAATTCCTATACATTCCATGTTATAAGTATCTTAAAGGTCTATATAAACGTAAATATATATTGTTGTTACCAGTGAAATACCCAAATTATCTTTCAGTTGTAAAATATCTTCGACTGAAAAAGAATAAAATGTAAAAATCAAAAAGCATTAATTTGTATAAGTAGAGTTATTCATTCGTGTCAAATTAATTGGTCTATAAGTAAGGTCTTCTGGAGTGAAAAGATTATCTGAAGTGATCGAGAACGCTTACAGCCCACTAATACTAAGTTCATTGAATATTTCAAACTATTAAAATGATTTGAATTGAATTAAGTATTTTAAGAAATGGCCGCTTGAGCAAGCAAGCTGCTATTGGCTGAACAGGGGTGGTAGTCCCGACATCAATAATGACATAGTCAGCCGTTAAGTCTGAAAATTCTTAGAATCTCATCATGAAATTTACGATTTAGTGACCGATTTCAGTCTTTAACTTGTCGAGACTACCAACCCAGGACTTTCTATCATTATTATAAGCAATGGAAAGTATTTAATAAAAGTATTCGTAAATTGAGAGCGATCATATTATAATAATAAAATGTATATAGGAATGAATGGGCTTATAATTATGATGGTGCATTTGTGGTCCTCTTACGTTTACTAAGCGAATGTAAATAATTTATATAAGTTATCATAGTTCATTATAGTTATTGTATAATTTAGTAGCTATTACTTGAATACGACTGAAATTTTATCACGTTACATACATACAAGTATTTGGATTTGAAACGTTTTTTGAATTAACAGAAATGCTGCTTCCGTGCTTCGAAGTTTTGATGTCGATGTTTTCTATGAAGATGGTGTTATTTACAAAACTGTTTATGTACTTACATTTACATACGGCCACTTTATACCGATATACATGAACCATATTTGGAGTAGATTTACAAGATAAGGCAGCATTTATTAGTGAATTCTTACTAATTAATATATACTCGAGTGTCCTGTTGAAATCAGTGTAATAGATAACATTGTCTGTCGCTTTATAGAATAAATTTACATTAATAACTTTGTAAACAAATATTCAAGTGATGTCTATATTGAGCCAAAGCTAACCGCTACTTCAACTGAATATCAATATTACCTTCCTATAATTATTATAAGGTTTGAATATTACAATAGATATTAGAACGTCATATAGCCGATAAATTAAGATTTGAATGTTTATGGAAGCGATCATATTATGAAATTGCATTTTTAATACTATACACTAGTGTTACGTGGGACGTATTGACCCAAGACAATATAATTCTGACCAAATATTCAACCAAATATTTGGTTTAGTACGAAATTGGAATTCAATTAATTAGTGAATGTTTCGGTGTAATAAAATCTATGTCAAATTAGTGAAGACGTTATGGGGATGTGTTTAATGACAAAGAATTTATGTGTAAAATATACATATTGAACTTCTTGTGTTGGTTTCATTGTTACTGTTCCCCTAGTCTAGTCACGATCGCGGGAGGTGTCAAATTAAATTTCGGCAACGAGGTTATGGCGGGCCGCGCGCCACGCCGCCTTAACAGTCTGCAATAACAACATTTGCAACAAAATCTAAAACGAAATTAACAACAATAACAATTAAATGTGCTGCGAGATCTACACTCGTGGAGTCGTTACAGCAGCTGCTACTGTTTCATTCATTTTCAGCTGCGCAAACAAATATCTATATAGCTAATTAACCGGTGTATGGTTGCACTGGAAACTTTTTGTTTTGGACTCATTATAGTATAATTACCTTTTGCATTGTGTTCCTTTTTGTGTTAAGTGGCCTATTTAATTGTAATCTAACCAGTTGCTAATTAGATTATAATTACATCTATGTTTTCATAAGACTAACAGCATCACCTTGAAAAATTAAATTCGTTAGCGTCGAGCGAACCGTCTCGCATTTCTGAAATTCCCTCGTTATGCCTACTTCGCAAAAAAAGAACAAATCGAATGCAGTGTGTACACGGGAGCCGTCTCAACTACACCGTCGGAGTGTTGGTTAAACAAGAGAAAAAGTCGAACTTCAATAAAATATGGCTGCCGCATTTCGCGCGGGCACTCGGCTTTAACGGAATAATTGAACACGCTGCAAAGGTCGCAGTCAGCCGGTTAATCCCATAAGGTTTGCGCGACGACACAGCTACCCTGCCTCTGCTAATCCTCTTGATGGATGGTAGGAGTAACTCGTTTCTATGAGGCCATCCCATTACCCGGGACGTTACGCGCGACGGTAATGCGTGTTGTGGTTTGTAATTACCTCCCATTTAAACAGAAACACTGAGGATAAAACAATTTGATATGTTAACGGCCATGGTTACATACAATAGGCGCAGATTGAATGCAATTAAAGAGTTATTCGAGTGAAATGTCCATATGAAGTGCTACAGATAAGCCACGAAATTTAGGGTTCTGCAGTCTGACCCGGATAAATGAGAAGTAATTTGGATGAAGCTTAGAGAGATTTATTTGTGAATAGAAACACTGATTTTGATGAATACTAATAATTTATGTTATAAATGTAGGTCTGTGGATGTAAGACTTTAACGGTCTTATTATACAGCAAGGTTTTTCTACAGTCTAGGTCTAAACCATTGAGTCAGTAGTTAGGACCAACAGCTTTACTAAGTATAAGGATGAACAGAACTATTACATATCCACGCCACATCTCGTTTTCGACGTTGGATGTTCCCAAAATACTGAAAAGATTTTTATTATAAACGACACCATACGAATTGTGTAAATAATGAATAATGACACATAGTCGGAGAACAAATGGCCCCACTACGTTAACTAAACAAACATATTTGTATCTCTACAGAAAGTAGGAAAAACCACAGAAAGAAACAAAAAGCAGGTGCGCTCACTAATATTTTTACTCACACAACGACCCGAAGAAGGAAGTGAAGGAATATAATATTAGAGGAAAGGTCGACTTTTAGCTAAAGGTCATAAGTGGGTAGTGTACAAACCCCTGATTTCAGGAATACGGGGTTATTTAATCAAATATCATATTTGATAGGTTACGCAAAAGGCATCAATCAAAATACACAAATAATAACAATATGTAGCAACCGGTTTCACGATATTTTAAAGCATATTATAACATCGATTTCTCTGAAATGGTCAAAGTAAGGCAAAATACCAAATCAATACCAATGACTCAATCATATTCCAGAAACATTTTGAAAGCTTAGTACTTACATGCTACAACACAGGTTAATTAGTAATTCGTACAAATTAGTACCAAATATAACATCAGTGAACTGAAGAGCCGTCCTTCACTAATCAAAACTTTGTGATAACCAACAAATTCATATTCCGAACAAAATCAAACAAGATCGTATTTCACTAATACAAAATAGAATATTCACTATTAAATATTATCGGTCTAAGCTAAAAATATTGCTTCGAAAATCCATTTATCAATATTCATGAGAAAATATGAACTGGTTTACAGATAATTATTTAGAGACGCTGTCTGTACACCGCATACTCTTAAATCTCTCACAAAATAAATGCAAGCTGTTACAACCTCAGGCAGTGAGGGAAAAGGGAAAAAAATAAAAGTTTTTATAGACTCGATTTATCTTAACGCTTCGAGCAGAAATACAGAAACGAACGGAATCAAACACGGTTCTTCTATTTCAAACTGCCTTGATCTGATTAATGTTTCTTTTTTATTTGCTCAATCAAAGTCTGGAACTGACCAGTCATTTTGTTTATTCTTGTTTTATTTTCTGCTAGTGAAACTTGTAGTTCTTTTTCTTAAAGTTTGTATTAAGTAGAACAGTCATAAATGAGTTTAAGATGTAGAAAGCCTTTTTAGTAAGAGTTTTATACATAACAATAAAATATGAACTGGGCTAATACGATTTAGGAATTTTCAAGAGTCCCGATACCGGTACTTATTTTACATATAGGACTAGTGATAAGTTCCAATATTATTTTTTTGTATTGGTTAGGCATGTGCAGACAGATTGTATAGACGCTTGCAACATCGAAGAGTTACAAGACCATTGGCGCCTATTGGGAATTTGGTATTTACGAGTTCAAGAAAATGCCTCCTCACACTTAGCAAAAAACATGCAGATATTATTTCATGTCGGAGTCCGTGGTATAACTCCAGTAGATTTATGCCGAAGCATGACTTTCCAACACTTATGGTTGTTCAACTTATTTCACTTGATTCGAATTAAAACCTTTACAAAACTGTCTTTGTCACACCACATGAATCTCCAAGAAAATTGCCTTTCGTTTGACATGTGACGTACTTTATTAAACCATCTCCTAGCTAAAGGCTGGAGGTATGCTATTTGCATATTCCCAACAGACAGTTGATCTATGGGGATCAAAATCATAGCATGTTGTCGTCATGACGTCGCCCATATGTATGCAAAGTTTATGGAGATCGGTCGAGTAGTTGAGACGTGAAAGTGAAATATGACACAGGTGTGTTCGAACTTCAATCAAAGCGAGATGAAGCGTGATTGGGATTTGGAGCCTAGATTTGAAAAGTTATAAGACAAAAAATGCGTTGTTCAAAAATAAGCACTAAGTATTATTCAACAATAGCTAGTGTTGTTTAAATAGGTAATGTGAATATGGGTTTTTGAATTTAATAATATGTCGTA